CAGCAGGAAAACTCTATGCTCTTAGTGAAGGGGAAAAGAAAAACACCAAAAAAACCCAGCAAGTGATGCAAAGAGAGTCACTACATCCCGCCACCAGACCGACACCCAACCAGTCTCCAAGCAATAGCTACTTTGAAGAAACGCCCCCCAGTTTTATTGCTGAGCCTGAGGTTACAGGGTAAGGAACATCCCCTTGGTCAGCTGGGGTCAGCTGTCCCCGCTGTGTCCCCTTCCAGCCGCTTGCTCCCCCCACCAACCTCCTCGCTGCAGGGGCAGAGTGGGGAACAGAGACGGCGTTGCCGCTGTGCAGGCCCTGTTCAGCTATTGCTAAAACATTGGTGGGCTGTCAACACCGGTTTGGTCATAAATCACACAGCAGCGTAATGGTGGCTGTGAAGAAAGTTAGCCCCACCCCAGCCAGACCCAGTACACTGCAGGATAACACACTTTTCTTGGACAAATTTTGTCTCCCACAAATTTTGTCTCCCACAGGCCACACTGTGCTGAACCACAGGTGCTGTAGATAGGAGGCAAAGAAATGAGCTTTTATGGACATGGAAAGTGTCAAGGCCAAGTCAGAGATGTAAAGAGTACCCAGGACCAGGCAAAAGGGCTCAGGCAGCAGCATAAGCACTATTCATATCTGTAATTTACAATCCGGCATTCGTACCTGCCCAGTTAATGAGATCAAACCACTCAACAGTTTAATGGAAACAACACTCCCACAGGTCTTTGGATATAAGGCCCTAGACTATGCTGAGTTACTGCTTCACATAGCAGCCTTGTCTGGGACAAGAGTGCTTTAATTATACACAATCTATACAAGTGATGTTCTGAAGAAAACTTAAATCTGTTGAACATCACCCCTGGCAGAGTTGAACTTGGACTCCAGATAAAGAGACCTGATATCAGAGAAACAGGATGTAGCTGAAAGAAGATATCAGGCTAAAACAAATAGTTATGGACTGGTATATGTACAAGTTAAGGACCAGTCCAGAAGCTTTGTATCCAACACAGGTAGGGTACAGATGATTATACTGGTGGTATGAACTATTGTGTTCAGAGATGCAATGGGGCTAAGCTAGAAGGGCAAGAGATAAAGCAGCAGATAAACCTGCTGTTAGATGGAACAGAAAGAGAGATGTTGGACTGAAAGGGTGGTTGGTGAGGAATGGAAAGAACCAGAGAATCAGACAAGCAAATTGTTTACCTGCGTGAGCAGAAGGATGGATGATGGACTTTATGGTCCATTTGCTTTCTCTATTGTAGTAGTTATTGCCTCCCGCTAAAGCCATGTTCTCCCTTGAGTTATTGCCCCTGCTGCTCCATGTACTGAGCATTTACACAGCTAGAAAATCTATTATAACAGCCCAACTTTGTGGTTTAGATTCAGTGATCCCAAATTTAACATCTATCTTCAGTTGGTGTTTCTTCCCCAGCTTTGTGTCTGGCATTGGCACTGTACAGAACCAAAACTGTTCCATCCCTTCCTCATCTACATACTGAGCATTCTGCTTTTCTGTACAATAGAAAGAAAAGCATGGATTTGTTTGATTTGGTTCTGTTGGATGGAAATTACTGTGAGCAACTTCATTTATATTCACTGACTCCTCAATTCCCACCGATTTCTTGAAGAGATCTGTGCAATAAATACAGCCGTCAGCTTTTGAGACCCTTAGTTTACAGAAGTTGTGGATAGCAGCATCAAATTTATGACCTAATGCTATGCTGTATGTCTGAGTGCTGACTCTTGAGGCAACAAAGTGTGGATTGACTCCAAACAAAACAGCCCCTTTTGCAATGGCCACTTGGGCCTCTGTTGGACAAGGACATGTGATACTCCTTGCTAAAGGCCTGACTGCATCTCTCAAGACAATGCTAGATGCAAAGCCTCCCACAAGCAAAATGTATTGGACCTTGGCCATCTCAGGCTTGTCAAGAATTGCCCTCAAAGTACATGTCCTGGTTTGGCTGAGACAGAATCCTGGGCCAGCCATGCCAGGCAGGCCATTAGCAGTTTCAAGTCAGCCAGGGCAGCTGACCTGAGTTAGCTACAGGTGTAGCCCATCCCATAATGTCATGGTCATTATAAAGGAGGAAGGTTTACTAAGGAAGAGGAGCTCCTGTGGGGTTCTTCCTGCTCTTCCTCTGGGTTTTCCTGAGGACAGTGGTTGATTGTAATGACTGGGTGGTTATTTGGCTGAGTATATCTATTGGTGGTGTTTTATCAAATCGATTTCACTTCTGCCCGTGGGTTTGCTACCCCTTTTTCCCAATTCCCCTCTCTGGCTGGTGAGGGGTTGTCGGGTGATAGAATGACTGTCATAGTTTAGCTGCAGGTACAGGCTAAATGTAGACAGAATGAATTATACATATATATATATATATATAAGTGTCCTCAGTGAAGACTGGAAATGAAGTGCCTTGACTGGAAAGGATTCCATCTAAGTAAACAAAACCAAAATCAGTTTCAATGGGAGAGGAGATGTGCTGAGAGAGAGGGGCAGCACAGTCCCTTGCAGTGGGTGTGCAGACTTGGATTGGCATTAAATGATGGTGAAGCCTCATGCTTAGGCTTTCTCTGGTTGCAGGAAGGAGCTGTTATAGTTTAGCTGCGGGTACAGGCTAAATGTAGACAGTATGAATTATACATATATATATATATATATAAAAGTGTCCTCAGTGAAGACTGGAAATGAAGTGCCTTGACTGGAAAGGATTCCATCTAAGTAAACAAAACCAAAATCAGTTTCAATGGGAGAGGAGATGTGCTGAGAGAGAGGGGCAGCACAGTCCCTTGCAGTGGGTGTGCAGACTTGGATTGGCATTAAATGATGGTGAAGCCTCATGCTTAGGCTTTCTCTGGTTGCAGGAAGGAGCTTGCTGTCTGTCCACCTGTATCTGAGCTGCAGAAGCACCTCGACCTGGGATTGTTTCTACAATAATAGCTGATATTTGGGATCCTCATTAAGAAACAGGACACAGAACAGGTGCAGAAATAAAAAAACTACCTTGAGAACACAGAGCTTGTTCTCCTCTATTAAAAAACCTCACACTGCATTGCAGAGTTTTTTTCAGCGGAACAGCCACCTGCATTTGCTGTTCCCCGCACTCTGCAGGTCTGGGTTGAGTTTGTTCTTCAGGAGTTGTCCCTGTATCTTGCACACGTCACCCAGCCTGAATGATTACTTGAACCCTCCTCCTATTTTTGGCAAACCCTGGCCTGTGCAGTCCTGTGAACTGTAACAGGCATCATCTGGGGGAGTGCTAGCTCACCTGTACCAAAACTGCATCCAGGTGGGTGCTGGGCCGCCGTGTGCCCTGGAGCCTCTCTCCTGGCTCTGATCTATTTGCTAGCATGGATGTAGCCATGAGGCCTCTGCTCATGGGGCTGTCTTTTATACGGTGCCTGTTTAGAGTACGTGATCTTTTTATCCATTCATTTTAAGAATTCTCTTTTCTTTTTTCCTCAGACAAACATTTGACACCCTCTGGCAACCATCAGCCTGTGGAAACAAGACTTCAAGGCTGGAGGACTTATATCATGATCTGACAGAAAGGCTGGTGCAGACGGAAAAAAAGAAATCAGGTGAGTCTGGTGACCAGAAATTACAGTGTTTAGCGTGGCCCTGATGATCAAATGCAGCTGGTGTACGCTAGGATAGGTTGGACAGAAGATTACAAATAAGTCAGACACAAGTAGGGCTCCGAGTTAGAAACAAATTTTGTCCAGGCAATATCTGGAACCCAGAGACAATTTACAGAAGCTGTTTGATCTGCACCATATAACATGAAGATCTTACACTTTTGGAATATTTTATTTGCACTATTAATACTGACTCATAGAATCACAAACCACCCCCCTGGCAAAGCAGTGCCTTGAGAAGTTTTGGTGTCTAGATTTCTTTTTTTTTTTTCCCCTACAGGCTGATAGGAGGGAGGAAGTTTAGCTTGTGCATTTCTTACAACTTTAATGAATACTTGCCTACTGAATGTAAGGTGGTTTATTATTTCTTTCTTCCCCTGATGGGCAGATGAACAACAAGAGTTTGGTCTGGCTGTTGATGCTCGACTACAATTTCTGGGAAGCTGCTACAGGTAATCTGACTCTTAACATAAAGAACACATATAAGAGCGGAAAATCATAAGTGTTTCTGCAACTGTCACTGCAATGTACTCAAGCCTTGGTTATCACAGCTCTGTCCTGCAGGACAGACCAAATTTTCATTCTATTGTTTGACTGCATTGGCATGACATGGTGGGGCATGAGCTGCCTCTGAAACACACTTGTCTTGGAGTGCAGATCGGGTACATGACCAGGGCATGTGACATGAAAACCGAAACACGCTTGTCTTGGAGTGCAGATCGGGGTACATGACCAGGGCATGTGACATGAAAACATGTCATGTTGTGAGACAAACTTTCATTTCTGTGCAGATACTTCTCTGAATGTGTAATGGCTGCCTTAACAGCAGCCCTCAATGTAAAGGCATCCAGCCTGATATAGAAAGTGGAGGTGGTAAAAGCAGCTCTGAGGACAGGTTGAGTAGGTGTGCAGAGGCAGTCCTCAGATTTCATTATGAAAACTGCCTTCCTATGAACTAGGCAAGTGCTGAGGGAAGACATAGTGGCTGGAATACTGGCAAGAAGGAGGAAAGTCGTTAATCAGGAGGAAAGAAAAGTAAATAATAGCCTAATGGATGGCATCTTGGGGATAAAATGCGAACATAAATCACTTTCAGTGACTCACTTCAGGAGTGAATAAACTTCAAATAGTACAGCTGGATGTCCATACCCTTCCTGAACAGCTTTGTGGAGAAGAGGCTTTCCTATTGGGATTTCCATGAAGACAGGCTGTGGTAATTTAGTTTGTGATGACAGCTGGGGTATCTGTGAGGTCATGAAGGGTTTGTAGGTATGCAGTCATGGATAGCCTGGTAGTGAAGGAAAACTCAGACTTTCTGAAACCTTGGAGCTTTCTTCCGGAGTGGCTCAAATTTGAGACTTGACCTGATGTAAGGCAAAGGTTCCCAGACACTGGAGCTAGACTCAAATGATGACCAAGCTCAGTCACTTGTGTCCCTGAGTTTCTTTGCCTGATGACAGAAGGCTGGCAGGAAACCAGTCTAGATCCAGATTACACCTCCCAGATTCAGGTCCTCATTCTTGGTTTGTTCCAGGTCTGTCTGCTTAACATCGATTCTTTTCTTCCATCTCTAGGCAGCATGCTGCATCTGATCATTACAAGGCAGAGGAGACCAGAACCCTGATTGTCCTTATCAGGAGGGACATAGGAGCTATCAGGAGTGAGTACTGGGTTTTTCTGAATTTCCTCTTTTCAGTGTTGTCCTTTCACCCACAGCCAGTCATCTTTCTCCACTATGCATAATACATTTACCACCTCTGAAGTTAGACAAGCTCTGAACACAATATTTCTGTGCACAGTAATGAAGGTGATTTAATTGACAGAGCAGAAACTTGGTGGGATAATTCACAAGATCAGAATATTAATATAAGATGGTATGGCTTACTCTGAAAGGAGGGGGAAGAAACATGGGACAAGAGGTGCCCTTTATATTGGGGCTGCATGTACTTGTTCTGAGATCTGTAATAAAGAAGATGACACAATCTCTAAAAACCTCTGGTGAATGATTAAAAGCAAAAAATTTCCAGCACTTTTAGGGTACGAGTCTGCAATCAATGTAGAGTCATCTGTAAAGAGAGTTTTTTTTTGAGCTCTGCTAGTATCACCTAAAGAGCAGATACTGGAAACTGGAGAATTTCACCCGCTGGAGGAATAGGAGACTGATATTACCCAGACATCTGTGGAGAAAGGAATCCAGAAGAACAGAACTCTCTGGAGGGTTTGGGGTGTTTGGCGATGATGTTTTGATGTTAAAGATGGAGAAAACTACTAGAGAAAAAAACAGAGTACATTCTAACAAGTAGAGAATACTTGTGTTTTCTTCAAGACTTTGACCTCTGGTCCTCACAATCCCATCTCCCTTTCTTCTGATGTAAACAGCTTTCCCCTTGATTTGAGCATAAATCCTAGGTGGAAGCTTTCAGGGGAGGTTATTAAGCTCCCCTGGAGTTTTCGCTGGGTGCTCTGCTCTTTCCCACCTCACAGATTTTTTGCTGGAATTCAGGCTACTCAATAGGGGCAAGTCCACTGTTGTCCCAATGTCCACGTACAAATGAAGAGATCTCACAAAAGAAATCTGTTTCAGAGCATTTCCTGGAGGGTTTCACCCAAAAAGAGCTTCAGGGGAAAGAGGAAAATAAGAAGCTGAAAGAGAAGATCAAAGAGCTAGAGGTGAGGTAAAGTATTTAATCAGATTTTTTCTACACTGAAGAGCTATATACTCCTTGCTTCCTCCAGTCCTTAGGGACTCTTTGTTTCTGACCAGACAGCCTAGACACCTTCTCCCCAGACTTTCAACCTGCCAGCATCTCTTTGTAATTGATTTCTGGAAGATGGCTTGGGTTGTTCTGGAAAGGGAAGGTGACATTCCCAGGGTGAACATGTTAATAAAAGAAATCAGCCTACAATGACATAGTTGAAATGCCGCTCTTTGATCAGATTCCACTGTGATCATGCAAAACTGAGCTGAGAAAGCACAGTTTTTTCCCACACGAAAGCTGCTTGCCACCTACAATAGAGTTGAGAAGTGCATTGTAGAAAATGTGGGATTCATTAAATGGAAGCTGGCATTGACCCAAAATCTGCCATTCAAAGACTGTTGACACTGCAGTGCTGCAAAATGTATTGTTTGCTACTTCTTCAGGACCCACTGGTTAAAGCTGTGTGGAACATACAAGAAAGCTCGACACAACATTTAGAGCACTAGACAAAATCGGCATTTCTGTGGCCCGTTGTGAAAGGTAGTCTGGGATGAAAACTAGCATGACTTCGGGTCAAGGTACTCACTTATATGACCACAAGAAGATCAAACAGCTGCTGCACAATGTGCTACTTTTCTTTCTCCCATGAACT